AGTGCCCCAAGAAACAGAAAGTGGAAGCTGTCAGTTTCTTGTTGCTTGAGGCTGGAAAGTGATAATGCATCACTCCCAACACATTCTGTGGGTCAGAGAGAGAAGAGTATAAATGTAAGGGAAGGAGATACAGACCTCAACTCTCAGGAGAAGCAGTATCAAATAATTTTGAAGCTGGAAACCAAAAAGTATCTGAGACAGGTCTCAATCAGTTTAGAAGTTTATTTTGCAAAGGTTAAGGACATGCCCAGAGAAAAGGATCTCAAATCCACAGGAACAATCTGTGGTTCATGGCATTTTCCAAAGAAGATTTTGAGGGTTTCAGTACTTAAAGGGGAAAGAGGGAGCAGATGGTCACATTACTGAATCTACCTGCTGCAAGGGAAAAGGAGCGGGCAGGGTGATAGTCAATTATGTCAGTCAGTCAACACTTTACCTAAGATAAGGTGAGCATGGAGTAGCTAGCTACCTGTGCAGATACTTAACCTTTTATCGGTAGCTATCTGCCTAAGAACAAAAGGAAAGGCAGTTTCTTGAATGACTCAGCTTTCAGCTTAATTTTTTCCTTTTGGCATAGTAAATTGGGGTCTGAGATTAGATTTTTATTTCACAGGGCCGTCCTTTAAAATTATCACAGATTAGTCACATTGATTTTGATCCTTTTTATGAGAGGAAACAGAGTACAGAACAGTTAAAATTTCTCGCCTAAGATGACATGTCTAGTATGTGGCCAGATAACTTGTCTGTTATTTCTGCCAGGTCTGAGTTTTTAATCTGAGTACTCTCATGCGCTCCGTATGAAGAGACCACCAAACAGGCTTTGTGTGAGCAATAAAGCTTTTTAATCACCTGGGTGCAGGTGGGCTGAGTCTGAAAAGAGAGTCCGCGAAGGGAGATAGAGGTGGGGCTGTTTTGTAGGATTTGGTAGGTAAAGGAAAATTAGTCAAAGGGGGTTGTTCTCTGGCGGGCAGGGGTAGAGGTAGCAAGGTGCTCAGTGGGGGAGCTTTTGAGCCAGGATGAGCCAGGAAAAGGAATTTCACAAGGTAATGTCATCAGTTAAGGCAGGAGCAGGCCATTTTCACGTCTTTTGTGGTGGAATGTCATTAGTTAAGGCAGGAACCGGCCATGTATGTGCAGGTTGCAGGGGATATGATGGCTTAGCTTTGGCTCAGAGGCCGAACAAGTGCTATATTGCATCTCCCTATAATTTGTATGCTTCGCTAATTTAGATTCATATCTTCAGTTTTTTCATGGCACGATAATTATGAAATTAAGTGAATGACACGTTTGTAAGTCACAGAGCTCTGTAGATACGTAGTGTTTGTAAGGGTTTGCCACGTGTCAAATTCACCATGAAGATGTAACAGGACTAGTCGCAGACAAAACTCCTCAGACACCGAAATAAAGAAGGAAGGGGTTTATTCGGCCAGGGGCCTCGGCAAGACTTCCGTCTCAAGAGCCGAGCTCCCCGAGTGAGCAATTCCTGCCCCTTTTCAATTCCCGTCCCTTTTAAGGGCTCACAACTCTAAGGGAGTGCACATGAGAGGGTCGTGACTGATTGAGCAAGCAGGGGGTACCTGACTGGGGGCTGCATGCACCGGTAATTAGATGGGAACAAAACAAGATAGGGATTTTCACAGTGCATTTCTATACAATGTCTGTAATCTATAGATAACAGAACCAATTAGGTCAGGGGTCGATCTTTAACTACCAGGCCCAGGGTGCGGCACTGGGCTCTCTGCCTGTGGATTTCATTTCTGCCTTTTAGTTTTCACTTCTTTCTTTGGAGGCAGAAACTGGGCATAAGACAATATGAGGGGTGGTCTCCTCCCTTAAAGACACCTTCTCAATCACCTGAGTCAGAGGGAGGTGTTTGACTCCAATTCTGAGCCCCTCTGCTTTCATCGGTTTCCCATTGTCTCCCCAAAAAGCATTTATTATCACCCCCAGATTGAAACAGACGGTGATTCTGAGGAAAGCTCCTTGATCTCAGCGTGCTGCTTACTTCACCTATTCTTGTTGCATGGAATATGTGTTATATAAAGGAATTAATAAAGAAAACTTATTGTTTTAGGACCATAAAAGGAGTTAAATAAATGTTTCTGGTTTTTATTGAAAATAAGCCATGAGGTTAAACCCTAACTTAGATGGTATATTGCATATATTTAGGGATTTATTTATTATATTGATTCTTCAGGGAGAAATCAGAAAACACAGGCTATTTCAAATTCTGGAGGTTGTCTGATAAAGTAATGAATGCAACCTCTTACAAACCTAAGAAACCAATTATTTCCTTTCATGTTCAAAGATAATGGATATTTCCATGTGAAAGAGAGGTAGCCTTTGTTCTGTGGCCTCTGGTTTGCAAATCAACTTCTGTTTGATATTGTTTGCTGCTGTGATGAACTGTGCTCATTTCATACCAGGTATTTGTTCCCATTATGATGCAGGAGTTTGTAACTGGGATCACTTTGTAAACTGGGGACCTCCTGGCTGGCGAAGCCCTGCCCAGGCCTCGCTTGGCTACGCTGGCGTCCTTCAGCTCTTGCCTGTGGTATAGCTTGTACCCGCTTTCAGCAGTTCCCAAGCTCTTGTAGTGCACCCAAGAAGAATGAGGATACACGACACATTGAAGGGTGAGGAGGGCAGAGAAGAATTTTGTTGAGGAATGAAAACGGCTTTCAGCAGAGAGGCAATGTGGGGTTCTGGGGAATGGTTCCCCTACTTGAAGTTCCTCCCGTGTGGCTGGGTCTGGGGCCTTTTGTGGACTCAGAACGGGGGGTGCGTGCTGATTGGTTTGTGAGGAAAGTGCACCAAACGGGAAGACAAGTCCTCCCTCTGGTTGGAGGATTTAACTTGTAACTTGGCTTTCAGGCTTTAAACTGTCTTCAGCATGGAGGTGGGGTTTCACCAGGGACCCGCCCCTGTCTGCCTGGGCATTTGGCTGCCTCCTGCCGCTCTCACTTACAATACGGATTCTTTTCTCACCAAAATTCTCTTGAGAAAGCTCATATTTAAAGGTCTCTAGCTTTCCAATTTCTGGGTTTCTTGAGCAGTGTGTGTGAACCTCCCTTGATGAAGAAAAGCTCATTTTATCCCTTCACAGTCAGGATATTCTAAATACTGAAGCTTCGTTTCAGTCAAACCCTGCAGTTTTCTTTGGTTCTCATCTACCTGACTCCCCCACCTTCATTTTGTACTTCTTTCCTCATTTTTCCATGGCATGGTGCTCTGCTGATTCTTTTGCTACACAGTGTATTCTTCCTGAACTCCGGCGTCAAGTGATCTGCCTGCCTTGGCCTCCCAAAGTGTTGGGATTACAGGCATGAGCCACTGTGCCCAGCCTAAATACTAATAGTGGTAGCTAACACATTTATAGTGCTTACTGTGTGACGGGAACATATATAAGGCTAACTTTTTAATAATTTTTAATTTAATTAATTAATTAATTTTTTTTGAGACGCCTTGCTCTGTCACCCAGGCTGAAGTGCAGTGGTGCAATCTCGGCTCACTGCAACCTCTGCCTCCCAGGCTCAAGCGATCCTCTCACCTCAGCCTTCCAAGTCGCTGGAACTACAGTTGTGTACCACAATGCCCAGCTAATTTTTGCATTTTTAGTGGAGATGGGGTTTCACCATGTTGCCCAGGCTGGTCTCGAACTCCTGATCTCAAGTGATTCACCCCCGCCTCAGCCTCCCAAGGTGCTATGATTACAGGTGTGAGCCACCGTGCCCAGCCCAGTGTGTTCTTCCTGCTGTCTCAATTGGCCACATGGTATAATTGTGTGCTCCAGGCTCACTGCTTTCCGGAGTCCATGTGGCACCCCTGCAGGCTAAGATATCAAACTGCCTCTCATATATATATTCATATGATACTTTGACATGTCTAAAGGCAACAACTTCCCCTTTTCTCCAAAAGATACCCACTTCACAGTTTCCCTATTCTTGAAGTCATAAAGTAGATCCTCACTGTTCTTTTCTCTTCTAGTACCCCGTGTGTTCCTTCCACAGCATTTCTCACAATCTGTCATGATCGGCCCATGCGTACTTGTTTAATGGCTATTTCTGATGCCATCCTACAAGCCTCAAGATGGCAGGGGCTGCGTTACGTTGTTCATCACTCTGTCCAGTTCCCACCTAGTGTGGTGCTTGTCACATAACTGGCATGCGTTCAATGTTTATGGGGATTAGTGAACAGATAAACAAGTGCACTCACTTCCGTTTTTATGTTTGCGCCCCGGGCCAAGATCTTGATGCTATCCCTGACTTTTCCCTCTCTTCATACTCTAGATCTGCTAGTTTACTCAGTCCTCCTAGAATGTAAGCTGCATGAGGACAACGATCTCTGCCTGTTTTGCTCAGTGTGATGTGCTTGCATCACAAGTGCCTAGAACGGTGCCTGGCATGTGGGTGACTATTTGCTATGTTGATTGCTAGTTTACATGTAATAATTTATTTCATCTTCATAACAATCCTAGAAGGGTGGGTAAGTAGTATTAGTATGCCCATTTCATAAGAAACCAAAGCATCAAGAGGTTAATTAAGTTCTTGTCCATTGTCACAGAGCTGCTAAATGGTGGAGCTAGGCATTAACTTGAGTGTCCTGAGGCCGTTCTCTTAATCACTAAGAACCGTGCTATAATGTAATGTAATGTTTATGTAATGTTTGTAATGTTACATGTAATGTTTATGTGTTTGTTCTGTGCTGGACCCTTCACTACAACCCTGTATACTCATTCCACAATGAAGAAGCAGCTGTCTTCAAAGGGTTTTTTAAAAAGTGACCCAACGTGGGACCCGGTTCATGAGTAACAGAGTTAAACTCAGACTGTTTGAGCCCAAACCTGGGCTATCTTGTGCCTCTGCAGCCAGACCCACCAGTCTCCATGGCCTGTGGTTTTGGGAGCAGACCCTGATTTACTCTGAACATTACCTGAGAGTCATTAGGTTTTTCTTGCCCTGGATAGATACCTAATGCAGCATGCATGTTTCTTTCTGTAGACAATGGGAGCAGCCGCACATTGCACTCCAGAACAGAGACGACCCCGTCGCCCAGCAACGATACTGGGAATGGACACCCAGAATATATTGCATATGCGCTTGTCCCTGTGTTCTTTATCATGGGTCTCTTCGGCGTCCTCATTTGCCACCTGCTTAAGAAGAAAGGCTATCGTTGTACAACAGAAGCAGAGCAAGATATCGAAGAAGAAAAGGTTGAAAAGATAGGTAAATAACCAGGGTTCTTTTTATTGGGGGTGAGGAGACAGTTTTAAAATATGAAATCAGTGATATATGCTTTCCATCTCTCTGAGGCAGAATGATCCATTTTAGTGGCAGATGGTGCAGTGTAGCGTAAGTGCAGATGCGCAGTAATTATACCTAGTTTGAAAACTTGCTTTCTTTACTGAATACCTGACCTGCCAGACAGGGCACCCATTCTTGCCCAGTGGCCTTAGACAAGTTATTGTGTACTCTGAGTCTGCTCTGTATAATTTTACTTAAATGTATTTTTAATTAATTTAATCTTATTCATTTGACATTTTAATTTAATTTCAATGAGGAAAACAGTCCTCACCTTTTGGGGTTTCTGTGAAATTTAGAGGAAAGATGCATTTGGTGTTTGGAATATATGACCACTCATTAAATATTAATCCTTACTATTATTATGGAATCAGATTTGAATAAGAGTGAAGGAAAAATTAAAATAGGTCTCACCATGTTTGTGATGTTGCTTTTGCTGGGGGAGTTCTATCTTAAATATTTGTGATTGGAATTCGTGTTCATTAAGTAAACGATCATGTGTACAGTGCAGAAAAAGGTATGGCAAGAACTGGTGCCTTAGTACTAACTTCAGGCTGTCTCATCTTTTTCTCCTAACGTGGAGCCATAAGGTAGTGTTTAGAAAAACCTGGGAGACGAAATCCTGTTTTCTCCGCTGGTGTTTCTTTCCCATCATCTTTAGGGACGTTTCCTGACTTGGGCCTTGAGAGGTAGTAGGTGACTCCCCCTATTCCTTTCGGCCCCACTAAGGGCAGTTTATGGAGAAAGGTGACATTGAAGTAGGTTGCCCTTTGGGCAAAGCAGGGCTGGCTGGGGGGAGGTTCCTCGTTCCTTGCCAGCTTGCTGGACCGTTGGTTTTTCCCACCCCCACTGACCTTTGAGGCTGAGAAGGAATAGGATTGCATGATGAGTCATGTATGAGCCTGTGAGCAAACCGAAGCCAAGTGTTTGTCAACAGCAAGTGGAGCCTCCCCCTCTCCTCCTTCCCAGATGCTCTGTAGGTTGGCTTAGCAGCCAGCTTCTGAGCTGTCTAACCAAACATGCATGTTCACTTGGGGGAAAGCTGACCTTTGGACGGAGAAGAGATTTTCCTTGTAAATGAGTAGGACATTGCACACCTTGATGTATTCTCTGTGAACTAGGATGGAGTATTTCAACCCTCCCTTGTTCTCCTTGTCTTATTGAAGCAGATTTTGCAGATTGGTTCCAGAGTGGTTTGCTTTTTTTCCCAAAGACCATCATGTACACTCCTGGTACAGAGTCCCCAAAGTAAACTGAGTTTGTGGACAAATAACCAAGCCCTGAATATAGGTAATTTGAAAGTGCATTTCAGAGGATAGGACAGTCTGATGAACATGGATGAATTATGATCCAATTTACAAAGGAAATTAATATTGTAAATTGATATAGTAAGTCTACAATTAAAATAAAATCCAAGGAGAATTTTTTCTTTTTAAATGAGCTTTCTTCCCATTTCTCCTAAGGCTTTAAGGAAATGATGAGAGAGAAATAATAATGAGGACTGGTACAAATGCATTTTCAAATTATTGTCTGGAAAGTGAGTGAGCATTTGAACTTCAGAAGAGATAGACGGACAGCTCTGGTACTTTCTCTTTATGCTTGTTATGCATGAGGAAGTTTGGGTCTGGAGGGAGAAAGCCTAGAATCGTAGCACCTTGGGTGATCTCCTGAGGCTCCTGGAAACTGTTCAGTGAGGTCTTGGATTCTAAGACTGATTGACTTGATGCTGGTGACCAGTTGTAACCTGTTCTCCCCTCCTCTTTTCTCTTTCAGAATTGAACGACAGTATGAATGAAAACAGTGACACTGTTGGGCAAATCGTCCACTACATCATGAAAAATGAAGGTGTGGACCTTTTAGTGTTCCAAAACAATTCAGTATTCCTATCCTTTATTAAAAACCTGCTTCGAAGAGTCAAGATTTACGTAGACTCTCTTATTGACTTCACCTAAGCTTTCTAACACCTCAGCTGCCAGCATTATTGAGCTACGCAAGTTTCACATGAGTGAGTTTTCTAAGCATGAGTTGGTCTAAGCGTTGCAGAGACCCAGCCCTGGAGCTCTGTCAGCTGGTGTTCAAATCCTGGCCTCGCTGCTTACTGGTTGTGTGCAATTTGGGGAAACTACATTGCCTTGTTTCATGAGGTACAGCTTCTTCCTGTAAAATGAGGATAATAATATTTACCTCAGCCTGGCACGGTGGCTCACATCTGTAATCCCAGCACTTTGGAAGGCTGAGGTGGGAGGATTACTTGAGGCCAGGAGTTCAAGACCAGCCTGGGCAACATAGTGAGACCCCAACTCTTCAAAAAAAGTTAAAAAGGCCAGGCGTGGTAGCTCATGCCTGTAATCCCAGCACTTTGGGAGGCCGAGGCGGGTGGCTTATCTTAGGAGTTCGAGACCAGCCTGAGCAACATGGTGAAACCCCGTCTCTACTAAAAATACAAAAAACTAGCCAGACTTGGTGGCGGGTGCCTGTAATCCCAGCTACTTGGAGGTTGAGGCAGGAGAATCACTTGAACCTGGGAGGCAAAGGTTGCAGTGAGTCGAGATCAGCCATTGCACTCCAGCCTGGGTGACAGAGCAAAACTCCATCTCAAAAAAAAAAAAAAGGTAAAACAAAATTAGCGAGGCATGGTGGCACATGCCTGTGTTCCCAGCTACTTGGGAGGCTGAGATGGGAGGATCACTTGAGCTCAGGATTTCAAAGCTGCAGTGAGCTGTGATCACACCACTGCACTCCAGCCTGAGTAACAGAGTGAGACTCTAAGAAAACAAATAATAATAATAATATTTACTTCACAGCATTTTTGGTACATAGTATACATAGAGGGCTCAGTATAGAAAGCACTCAAATATTGTCTGTTCTTTTTTGTGTGCTTAAAAAAATTGTGGTAAAATACACATAACATAAAATTTAGTTCTGTTACCATTTTAAAGTACACACTTCAGTGGGATTAAGTACATTCACAGTGTTAAACATGCATCTCCACTGTCTAGTTCCACAACTTTATATCATCCCAAACGGAAGCTCTGGACCCGTTAGGTAGCCACTCCCTCCTCCCCCGGCCACTGGCAGCTGCTGCTGTGCTTCTGTTTGTCTGTTCTATGTCATCCTTTCTCCCCCATTAACACTTTGTTACAAAGTTGAACTTTTATGAAATTGAGGATTTTTTCACCCTGAAATGTATTCTACATTGTCATCTTAAATGGAAGATTAATTTAATCTTGAGTGAAGAAACTCTGGGGTCATTGTTCTGAGCACTGGTTATTCCCTCGATAGCACACCATGCCCTCAGTGATGTTTAAGGTGTATGGGATTCCTTGCCCACTTGCTCCATAGCTGTGGATTCTTACACTTTGAATTCTCATGACAATTGAAAAGCAAACGTTTCCCCTGGGCTTTGTCTTTGCTTTAGTCAGCATGGACTCACGGACTGTGCACTGATGATAGAGCTGAGCCATTTTTCTAAACGTTGAAATAACACCACACTCATCAGTAAATACCTGCTCCTCTGCCCTCAGGCCCTGCCCCGGGCACCCCACACTCCCAGATCCTCACTACTCCACAAGAGCATCTGCCTGCCCAGCCTGTCTGTCAGTTTGACTCTCTTCAACTGTTTTTGACTTAGAGAAACAGCAGTTTCGTATGGTTGAGCATAATTTTCATTGCTGTTTTCAGAATGTGCTTTATGCTTTTGGCATAGATCTGAGTGCTTTATATACGTAATCTCATTTAATCCTCAAAACATGCTTATAAAGTTGGTTCAATTACACCCATTTTACAGATGAAGAAAGAAGGTTCCAAGTAGTTAAACTTACATGGTTAGTGAGCAGCCCAGCTCTGTCTGGCTGGTTTCAAATTCCGCATTCTTTTCAACCACACAGTATTGTCCCTCCTCTCTTCTAACGTGCAGTTGTCAATTTCTCCAGTCTATAAAATCAGACAACCAAACTTATTCGGATGATGTTTAAAATAACAAAACAGACCAGAATACTTGGATTTTGATCTCTGTCTTCCAGAGACCTTCCTTCAGGGCATAATAGTTGGTGATACTGTTGTTGAGTACTCAATCATGGATGTTTCTTTTACATGAAAAAAAGTGCTTTTTAATTTGCCCAAGCAATGCATGAATATGTCCTTGGCATAGGAAAATGTACCCATTCTGGAAGTGTGCAGCGTAAGGCGTGGATGACCCCCTCACTGCCCCTGTGCCTTTCACATTCCAAACTGCCTTTCTTGGCTGTGGAGAGCTTGCAGGCCTTTGGGACCTGGGCTTCTGAAAGCTGGAGCAGTTGCCAAATTTGTGATGATGCATGAAACGGGTTACTGACAGTTGAATCAGTCGAAATAAGTAAACTGTGAGAACCTTGCCAAGGGCTGAAGTTCTCATGTATCGACGTCATAGTACTCCTGAGGGTTTGCTGTATGCTAGGCCTGTTCTGTGGGCTTTCCAGGGACTCCAGGATCTCGACATTTTCTTCCCATGTTACAAACTGAAGCCCACCGTACTTAACTAAGTTGCCAGTGTTGCACCACTGGAAAGTGGGGGAGCTGGGATTGGAACTGAGGTGTTCTGATTCCATAGTCTGTTATTTTAACCAGTTACTGTAGTACCTCTGTCCAGGTGGCATGAAAGAGGGATGGAAAACTTAACTCCTTTCAAAGAGAAACAGTATATAGCTGGGTTAGTTTGTAGAAATCTTAAGCATTAACTCAATAAATTCTTAAAAGTACCGGCTGGGCATAGTGGCTCATGCCTGTAATCCCAGCACTTTGGGAGGCTGAGGTGGGAGGATCGCTTGAGGTCAGGAGTTCGAGACCAGCCTGGCCAACATGGTGAAACCCCATCTCTACTAAAAGTGTAAAAATTAGCTGGGCATGGTGGTGCATATCTGTAATCCCAGCTACTTGGGAGACTGAGGCAGGAGAATCACTTGAACCCAGGAGGCAGAGGCTGCAGTGAGCCAAGATGGCACAGTCACCACACTCCAGCCTGGGCGACAGAGTGAGACTCTGTCTCCAAAAATAAATAAATAAATAAATAAATAAATAAATAGATATATAAAAATAAAAGTGCCAGATGACATAGGCCCTTTTATCACCCTATTTAGTAGATTAGGAAACAGAGACCCAGAGGATAAGACACTTGTTCAAAGTCACATAAGCAGGTATGGCAGGATGGTGCCGGCAGTAGGCACTTCTCTTAATTACAGCAGAGAACGTGTTTGGGGTCCTTGGAGGAGGCATATTATATAATGTCCTCACTTCCCACACTAATGTGCAAATAGGGCTGTTTTGTCTTTCTTTTTAAATGATGTTGTTTGCCTTTTGGAAAGTAGCCTTTGTGTTTTTACTGTGCTTCGTACCAGTAGGTACCCCTCAGCAGTCAATACCTGAGGTGCCATTCTTCTCCTCTCTCCTCTGCTCCCCAGTTCTCTTTGCTTTCTATCTTATTCTCAACCCCAGGTCCCCTCTTCTCCTGTCCACGCCTTCATCTGTGTACCTGCGGTTTCTCCAGGGGCTTGTGAGGACAGCTGGTGACTCCAATCCTTTGTGCAGCCCTTGGTTCCCTTCCTGGACTCCCAAGTAATAGCTAATGTTGCTGCACGCCCCCCTCCAGCTGTGGCCTCTTCAGCTTCCAGCCTGCACCAAAACCACAGCCTCGTGATAAGATGCAGCCTTGATCTCTTACCAGTTTATAACCTAGCATGTTTGAGTTTGGCTTTGAGACTGAAATCCTCTATTTTGTGGACCAAATGCATTTTTAAAGTATTTTTTTCTCAATGATTAACATAACTTTGAACTTAGTACCAGTCTGGACTTCCCTGTTGACGTTTTCTGTCTTTGATAAATTGGAATTAATATTAATTTCACTTTCTAGTTTTAAAAGTGATAAGCATACCATAACTTTTCCTTTACATTAAGAAAGGAATAAAATTAAGCACAATCTGTCTGTTACCCTTTTCCCACATGTGTTTAGGTTTTCTTTTCCTAGATTTCATGCATCTGTAAACATTTGCAATCGTGATATATGAATGGTTTCTGCTTCGCATTTTAAGTTTGGCAAATGGGGTGATACTTGACCTGTACTCATGGTAACGTTCTTGTTTATGGTTTAAACACATTATGTCTTTAATGATGGAAATCAATTTTAGTTTAGATAAATATCTCTTGAAGGATGGATTATCAGCTGACCTGCTGGGCAAACACACTTTGTTTGTCTCCATCCTCACACAACACTTCTGACACAGATGTGCGGGTTTTTCCATACTTTGCAGTTCTTCAAATCTCGGAAGCCTGCAATTTAATACAGTTCTGACTCTGTCTACCTAGAGTTAGCATTAGATCCCAAAAGACTTCCCCTACTTGGGATGCCGGTTGGAAGCCGGGCTCTGGTACTTCTGACCTATAGTCTGTAAATGGCTGGGATGAGAGATCCACAGTCCCCTCCTCCGGTTCGATATTTTCCTAGAATGGGTAACAGAACTCAGGGAAACACTTTATTACATGTACTGGCTTGTTACAGAGGATGCAACTCATGAACAAGTGCTTCTGACCTATAGTCTGTAAATGGCTGGGATGAGAGATCCACAATCCCCTCCTCCGGTTTGATATTTTCCTAGAATGGGTAACAGAACTCAGGGAAACACTTTATTACATGTACTGGCTTGTTACAGAGGATGCAACTCATGAACAACAAAATAGGAGAGATGCATAGTATTGGGGGTGGGATACAAAGCTTCCCTGCTCTCTCTGGGTGCGCCACCCTCCCGGCACCTGCACCTGTTCAGCCACCTGGAAGCTATCAAATCTTGTCGGTCAAGAGTTTTTTTGTTGGCCGGGCACGGTGGCTCACACCTGTAATCCCAGCACTTTGGAAGGCCAAGGCAGGTGGATCAAGAGGTCAGGAAATCGAGACCATCCTGGCTAACACGGTGACACCTCGTCTCTACTAAAAATACAAAAATATTAGCCGGGTGTGGTGGCGGGTACCTGTAGTCCCAGCTACTTGGGAGGCTGAGGCAGGAGAAAGTTGTGAACCTGGGAGACGGAGGTTGCAGTGAGCTGAGATGTGCCACTGTACTCCAGCCTGGGCGACAGAGGGAGACTCCATCTCAAAAACAAAAAACAAACCAAAAAAAAGTTTTTTTGTCGAGTTTAATTTCCAGTCCCAGAACCCTGCGCTGTCCTCCCCTGCTCTGACTTTCCCGAGGTCCCTGGGTAGGGCTGAAAGTTCCAACCCTCTAATCGCTTGGTCTTAATGATGACTGGCCCCACCCTGAGACTGTCTAGGGGCCCCACCCCGAGTCACCACATTAGTATAAACTCAGGTGTGATCAAAAGATGCCCATTATGAATAACAAAAGACTCTCCTCTCAGGAAATTCCAAGGCCTTTAGGAACTCTGTGACAGGAACCCAGGACAATGACCAGATCTATTGCATATTATGCCACACCTGCACACTGACTGTTTTCCTAATCCAAAGGGTTGGATGTACCGCCGTGCTAGCTTTTAATTCATCTTTCTAAATAGAGCTGAACTGAATCATGTCTGGGTAGTCGCTGGAGTTTTCTTGCATTGTATGGATGTTTGGAAAGTGTCTGGGAGTCTGTAGCTGAGTTTCTCTGCTAGGCCCTTACACTGGCTGCTTAGTAAAAATTGCAGGGAGTCCTACAGATATTCCTCAAGTGCTTCTGATTAGTACTTCTGATCCCTAGGCAAGAGATGCCTTTGTGGAGTTTTTGCCTTCAGGCTCCACTTATATTTTGGCAGAAAAGATTCCTTTATAAATGACTGTGAGCACGGAGTGGGTTCTGAAACTTCCTCTGTTTATGCAAACATGCCGTGAACCATTATTCAACCTGTGTCCCTTTGGGTGGGGACTTGGACATTGAAGGGTAGGAAGGAGGGTGTCAGGGTTAAACGCACCCACCCTGGAATCAGTCAGAGCAGGGTTTGTGTCCAAGCCTGTCATTCTCTAGCTGTGTGACTCCGGCCAGTCAGTTACGATCTTTAGGTCTCAGTCTGTATACTTGTAAAATGGGGGTGATAATTCTACCTACTGTTAAGGGCGTCAGAAGCGTCCAACATGGAAGATCTATAAAGCTTTCAGGCAGCGACTGGCACGTGCCGGCCCTTACATTTTGGTGATGGCAATGTTAGTTTTTGCTTGAGAAATTTGCCTTAGGTGTGAGGAAAACTCTGAAGAGAATAGTGATGGCAGAGATAACCAGACATTTTTCTTGCCTGATTTTGGCTGTTCCATGCATATTATCAAGCAGGGATTCCGGGAGAAAAAGAGGTCTTTTCTGGAAAATACCGCCCTTCCCTTTTCTTGGGGAGTTTCCTTGCCCTGCACCTAGCTCCTCCCATTTTGGGAAAGGCTATGCAGGGAAGCGTAGTTGATAAAATGCTGGCAAGTGTGGAGAAAGCCTCCTATGGCTTAGTGGAGCTGTGAGTAATATGCAAGGAGGAGATACACCTTCAACAGAACTCAGACCATTGCTCTTTTATGGTAACTTCACAACCACATTAAGGCATGCGTTTCAGTCCTAACGGTGGTGTTATATTAGAAAGCCTTCCTGTCACTGGAAACCAAAAATGTTCCCAAGAGACAGATGACTGAAGCTGACTCGCTGGAGGTTAGCTCAGAGACAGGGATGCGTGTGTGTACACGCGGGTATGTACCTGTACACGCATGCATGTGCGTGTGTCCGCGTGTGTGTCTCACATGCCACAGGGTGAGTCCTAGAGACTCCCTTAGCAAACCAAAGGAATGTTTACTAATTATTCCTGGGAGAGAAAGATGAGTTACAGGAATTCATGAATAACTGAGAAACACGTCTATAAGAAGCAAGCTTTAATAATGATTTTAATATAGCGTATCTTCCTGGAATTAGTTTGTAATTTGATGTTTCATTTTTTAGGTAGTCATCATTTTATAGGTGATTGATTTTCTCAGGCAGTGATTTAAACGTTTGATTTTAAAAAGCTCACTCTTTGTATGTGCTGTTAGTGCTGTCCCTGTTTTAACACCTTTTGGTTTCCCTCTTTTTTATGTTTGTAGTTTTGAAGTTTGATAAACGTTGGCAGAGTAAGTATGGACAGCAAATTACTTTATATAATCAGTCCTCCATATCCATGAGATCTGCACCTATAGATTTAACCAATCAAGGATAAAAAAAAATTAGGAAAAAAAAAATGGATGGTTGCATCTTTCTGGACATGTGCAGACTTGTTTCTTGTCATTATTTCCCAAATAAAACAGCATAACAACTATTTACATAGGATTTCCACTGTATTAGCTACTATAAGTAACCTAAAGATGATTTAAAGTGTATGGGGGTGGAGTAGATATGTTTTATATCAGGAACCTGAGCATCTGTGGATTTTGATATCTGCACGGATCTGGGGAACATTCCTGCATGGATACTGAGGACAACTGTATTTTGTATACAATAAAATACAAAATTGTATATGGGATTGTATATCCAAACCTAGTATCTGAAACAACGTTTTTTTTGAATCCTCATTTATTAGTCAAACAGGAAATTAACTGACATTACTGGATTATACTTAAATGTGTTTTACAGAGGCAACTGTCTTTTTTATTGTGCAGGAGAAATTACTATGGATCCATTTTCATAATGTTTTTGTAATGATAGGAGGTCTTATTTAGATCAGAATTTGTGTTTGGAAATGCATTTGGACATCCTCACAGATAGTTGTGAAGGGTAAAGAATTTCTTTTGGCAAAAGATTAAGTGTCATATTAATATTTCTCAAAAGAATAAAGCAAAAACCCGTGTGTTCTCAAGGGTTGCAACAGGGCAATGTGTCCCTTAAAAATTGGATCGGGGCCAAACAAATACCTCACTCTCTTATATGTAAAGCACAGATATATATAGTACATAACCAAATATGAAATGTATCTGCCATACTGTACTTTAATGAGAGAGTCATTAGGAAAAAATAGTTGAACAAAGCTCTTGGGTGGGGCAATAACAAAAGCCAGGTTGAGAAACCCCGCATTGTAAGCCCTTAACTGTTAACACTTAGAGGAGCAGTTGGAACTAGAATTAATATTCCTCCTCTAGAAAAGGCATTTGAATGTTAAATGTTAAAGGTTGGTGTTGGCTTACGTGGTAAATAGTGATTTTTATTTGTTCTTTCCTCTCAGAGACTTGTTGTGGTTAGTCATGAGAACAGTGCTTCAGAAATCAATTGAAAAGGTTATGAGCCAGTAATAACATTTGGCCTTGCCAATTAAATAGCCAAGGGAATCTTGAACGTTCACTTCAGTCTTTTATCCTGGAGAGCATGACCACTCCACAGGAGGCAGAAAACACATGGCGTGTGGATGTGGGTGTGGGTTGGGGGACTCAAGAAACTAAGAAACTTAGATTAGGTTTTTATTATTTATTTATTTATTTATTTATTTATGTTTTGCTTTTGTTGACAGCCTAGCCTCCCACCTACAAATGTGGATTTTTTTAGAAGTCTAATTTAAGTTAGCATATATTACATAACTTATATGTTGTGATCAATACTTGAAATTTTAAGGTATCTGGCCAGTCAAGGGCTTATATGATCCTGAAGCTCATCTGGAAAATTAACCTTCTCTCATCCCTGATTCGATGTGGGATAGAATTGATGCTACAGGAGGATGCAGAGTTTAGAGCTAATTATTTTGGCACATACAAGTTATTAGACTACAGGTCACTTATGAAATACATTTCACTATCAATATTTTTCAAAGTATATTTATCAAAATGAGTTAACTGCAATAGAGCAGCGGCATATAAATGGTCCTTTAGTTTGTTGGAGTTGGCTTGGGGTGGGGGGGTAGTTTCTACTTTCTATTGCTATTGATGTGTAGGAAGCAATGCCTTATAGTAGGTCTGCTCTCCTTGCCGTAGATTCTCTGTCACTCTTACTAAGTTCCTGCTGGGTGAAAGTTATTGACAGATGGTGCCATGTTATGCAGTTATGTTGGGGGAGACCCTCCCTTCTCTAGGCCCCCAGGACCTCATCTATGAACTGAAAGAATGGAATTAGGTGTGTTTTCAACAGCTTTTCTGATGTGATTACTCATCTTATTCATTCTGTTTTAATTCTTTAATTTTATTTTTATTCCTTAGCGAATGCTGATGTCTTAAAGGCGATGGTAGCGGATAACAGCCTGTATGATCCTGAAAGGTGAGTGCTCCTCCCCTCCTCCTTAGTGCAACATCTTTTCAGTTACTTGCTCAGATATGGCGCCATCTGAAATGCTCTTCTGCTAGAGCAGGTTTCCCAACTTTGGCACTATTTTGGGCCAGTTATTTTGGGCCAGCTAGTTCTTTGCTGTGCAGAACCGTCCCGTGTATTGTAGGATGTTTGACAGCATCCCTGGCCTCCACTCACAAGATGCCAGAGCATCCCCTGCCCCCACCCTCCCAAGGTGTGACAACCCATAATGTCTCCACACATGGTCAATGTCCCGTAGCGGGGATGATCACTCCTGGTTGAGAACTGTTAGAGAATAGTGATGGGAAGAAGTAAGGCATAGAGGTTAAGGGCAAAAACATAGCCTTGGAATTGGGAGATGTGATTGAATCCTGCCTGCACCACAATATTAACTGTCTATTCTTGAGGAAGTTAACTGACCACCCTGAGTTTAAGTTCCATCGTCTATAAAATGGAGATCACCACAGTACCAGCTTTATAGGGTTGTTATAAGGAATATAGCATACCTTAAGCATTGAAAGACCTCCATGAACAATGATGATTAAATGAGCAAGCTGGTTTGGAGCTACCTGCTATGTTCTGTTTTTTGTATTACTGTTTTAGGTTATGGTTGTTGAGCAGCATATTCCTTCATAATTAATTACAGAGAACTGTATTTCCATATAAGTATTATTTCTTCAACAAGGAGCATTTATTGGATGCCTGCTGTGTGCTGGGTGCTGCTCTGGAGCTGGACATCCACAGACCCTTGCCATGGAGGAACACAGTCAGTGGGGAGTGGAGACGTGTGTGTGAGGCCTCGCGATGGAGAGCCTGCAAGTGCTGTAGGACTGGTGGAGACTGAAGGCTCTAGGGGACCCTGGGAGGCCATTGGGAGTTCAGGAAGGTTCATGGAAGAGGTGCCATCTGAACCAGGTGTGCAGGAGGTGGAGACAAGAGTCAGGGTTGGCTGTAGGAATAAGAAGGGCCAGAAGAAAAGTCACCACATCATGATAGCCTGGGACTCAGCCTATGAAGGGTTCGGTCCAGGGTGGCCAGGCCAAGTGACATGGCAAAGGGGTTGGATCTTTCTCCGCTTCCTATGTGGGTTGTGCACTCAGCACACCTTAGATGTTTAAGAGGTGTTCGTCAAACTGGCTACGTTGGATGTGTGTTTTGGAAAGGTAACTCAGAATGCAAGGAGTTGAGTTTAGGAGAGACGTAGAGTCATAGAGACAGAAGAGCTCTGATTTCTCCCACATTCCAGTCCTGGCCACAGACAGTTGGTGTTCTGACCATCTTAGCTCATGGTGTCTTTGTCTCAATCATCTTTGGGCATCCTGTAGTGCCCATCAGTGAGTTTTGTACACAGCTGGTACTTGAGAAATGCTTGTTGAGTGAATGTTGTTAAACTCTTGCATTCAGCTTTCTGATATGTGGTGCTAAGTTGACATTATTTTACTCCAGGAAGGTACAGCTGTGTGTTTTTATTTTTTTTTATTTTTATTTTTATTTATTTATTTATTTTGAGACGGAGTCTCGCTCTGTCGCCGGGGCTGGAGCGCAGTGGCGGGATCTCAGCTCACTGCAAGCTCCGCCTCCCGGGTTTACGCCATTCTCCTGCCTCAGCCTCCTGTGTAGCTGGGACTACAGGCGCCCGCCACCTCGCCCGGCTAGTTTTTTGTATTTTTTTAGTAGAGACGGGGTTTCACCGTGTTCACCAGGATGGTCTCGATCTCCTGACCTCGTGATCCGCCCGTCTCGGCCTCCCAAAGTGCTGGGATTACAGGCTTGAGCCACCGCGCCCGGCCTGTGTGTTTTTATTTTAACAGTTAGGAAGGCATCCCTAAAGAGCACCAGAAGACTTTTGTCTGTCAGTCATGTTTGAGGCGGTCTCCTCAACTGGAGGCTCTACTTCTTTTTTTTAAGTGTGCTGGTGGCCAGTTTGCATCAACGAAAAGCCTGGTTTCTGCCATCACAGCCTCCTGTGTGTCTCTGGGGCTCTTGCCACGGTCCAGGTGTCAGGCTGTGGGTGTCATGCCATCCCCACTCCTCCCACCTGTGCCGGAGGGCTGATTCCTGCTCAGTTCGGGTCTGCTAGGTTCGAATTCCTCCTTTTCTGCCGGGCCAGAGCCTTCATGCATGCCTTTTGAAAACAGCTCGTATCTGGCCTATATATTTCTGCTTTTTATATTTCAGATGGTCTAGCCAAATTTATTCCAGATTATCAAAGTGGTCTCTGCTGTTTCTGAAGCACTATCGTGTATAGCAAGGTGATTAATTGCATGGTTTCTGGAATTCAGCGTTCTAGGTTTGAATCTCAGATCCAGCACTTATTTGCAAGTGTGATCTTGTTGCAAGTGTGAGGCCAGTTACTTCACTTCTCCCTGCCTCAGCATCCTCATTGTTAAAATGAAGAAATTAATAATACTTACATCATAAGATTTTATAAGGATTAATTCCATTAATATATACATATAAAATGCTTAGAATACTGTTAGCTATTTTATTATGACTGTTATCAACACCATCAACATCTGTTTTGGACATCACTTTTGATATCTTTGCCTAAAGGCTTTCCTCCTTTGATATAATGGAGATTTGATGAAATCTTTTCTCTAAGTTATCTGATAATTTGATGGAATTTGAGTTCTTCCCTTTTCCAGGGCATAGATACTTAGGGAATCTCTTTGCGTAGAGTGATGGGCAGACACTCCTGGTACATGAGAAATTAGGATAATTGCATGAGAAAAAAGATCAGCGTTTTAGAAAGAAACCTAATACTTTAAAGCCAGTGTATCACTGTTAGAAGCAGTGGTTTATTCCCAGCTAATAAATTCCATTCTAGTAGTGATAAATCACTTTTTTTTTTTCTTCTAAAGACAGGGTCTCACTCTGTCATCGAGGCTGGAGTTCAGGGGTACAATCATAGCTACCGCAACCTTGAGCTCCTGGGCTCAAGCGGTCCTCCCGCCACAGCCTCCCGAGTAGCTGGGACTACAGGCATGCGTCGTCATGCCCGGCTAATTTTTTTATTTTATTTCGGAGACAAGGTCTCTCTATGTTGCTCAGGCTGACCTCAAGCAATCCTCCCACCTTGGCCTCCCAGAATGCTGGGATTATAGGCATGAGCTGTTACGCCTGGCCATGAATCATATTATTATTGCTTAAGATAAGCTGTCATCACACGGTCATGAGAGCTGAGTACCTGCTGTCTGAGGCCCGTTCACAAAGTCCATTTGTACAATTGGAAGATGCTTTGTTTTTTCTTTCAACTTAAACTGCTTCTGTCATCACAGGGAGAGAGATCACCTTCACTGGTATTTCCTTTAAGTAACCAGTTGCACTTTTTATTTTCCTCCCCACCTTAGCCCCGTGACCCCCAGCACACCAGGGAGCCCACCCGTGAGTCCTGGGCCTTTGTCACCAGGGGGGACCCCAGGAAAGCACATCTGTGGCCATCATCTGCACACGGTGGGCGGCGTTGTCGAGAGGGATGTGTGTCATCGGTGTAGGCACAAGCGGTGGCACTTTATAAAGCCCACCAACAAGTCCAGAGAGAGCAGACCACGGCGCCAAGGCGAGGTCACGGTCCTTTCTGTTGGCAGGTAAGATCTCTTCGGATGCTTTTGGTTTATGTGTGACATGGGTGCTCTGGTGTGTGGACTTGTGCTTACCTGTCAGATGTAGAATATGTTCTCCGTGCCTGGCTCAGTTTATATCCCTGGGCTTTTTAGATGTTTTCTGGTGTGAGTCCTAGATTTTTCCAACAACAGAAGAATCCTAAAAGGCAGCTGTTGCTAGATCAGATGGGAAATATAATAAGATAAATACCTACCTGCTCTAACAGATAAAGCCCAGATTTTCAACTGTATACAGAATAGACATTTATATTATCACTTATGGAATCCAGGGCAGGTAGTGAGATATCAACGGGTGGCTCTTCAAGTACTTGTCCAGGGTTCCAGGCCCCCTTCGTTTGTGGCTCTGCCAGCCAGCCAGAGGAGCAGGTCCGTGGAAGGTTGTTCACGCGGGGTTTTGAAAGAGCTACGAGGCCTGAGAGTGGCTCGCATCATTTTGACTCACACTTCACTGGCTGGAACTCGATCACCCAGCCAAGCTAACGTTCAGGGAACTGAGAAATATCATCGGGCCATGTGCAAGGGAGAGGAGAAGCTGTGGATCTGGTCCACAGCCCTCCAGTCTCTGTCTTGTAAGTTCCATGTGAATTCCTTCGACTGCTTGCTTTTAGTGGGCGGTGCTTTCCACTGTGTCTTGGCTCTCCGGCTCCTAGTGCCTTTCACTTGTGACCCATATGTGAGGTGGAGATCCTGCAGTTCAAGTGATGAATCCATCAGCCCTTACCTGAAGCATCTTTGCAGTGGGATGCTTTTGCAGTTCTGCTGTTGGATGCTGAGTCCCATGCAAGAACTGCATTGCCGATGTTGCATTTGGAAAGACAGTGGGGAGTACTGGTAAGGAACACACATGCTGGAGTGAGGCTGGGTGAGCACTGAGCAAAAGTCGACAGTGCTATTACTTACATGATCCTTCTGTGTCTACTGACAACCCCCTGAGAAGAGTGACCTGAACTCGTTGCTTCTACTCTCTTTCGAGTCCTGGCACCACTACTTGCAAACTGTTACGTTGCTCTGTGCCTCGGTTTCCCCCTCTGTAAAGTGAGAAGGACAGTCACACTCACCTCATAGAGTTGCTGTGTAGACTAAATAAGGTGACGCACATAAAGGTCTTAAACCAGCTTTGGGTACTTACACACTCAAGAAATGTTGGCTGGTTATTATTTTTATTTTAATTCAGTTGAGTTTCATCATTGTGTTGCACAAGCATCACGGAGAAGACGCTGGGCTGTTTGCCACTTACAGCAAAACAGCACAACTCATGACCACACTATTTTATTAAGAAGCAGAGTCATGGGAATTTATGAATGCAAAGCAATGAGAACCTGTAGCTTGTTTGGACAAAGCATGTTTTGTTGGTCTTAAAAAAAAAATCTGCTGAAATTTTCAACTCAGATTCAACATGGCTTTTTCTTTTTCTTTTTTTTTTTTTTGAGATAGAGTCTTACTCTGTCACCCAAGCTGGAGTGCAGTGGTATGAACTCAGGTCATTGCAACCTCTGCCTCCTGGGCTCAAACGATTGTCGTGCCTCAGCCTCCCGAATAGGTGGGACTGCAGGTGCCCGCCACCATGACTGGCTAATTTTTGTATTTTTAGGAGAGATGGGGTTTCACCAAGTTGGCCAGGCTGGTCTCGAACTCCTCACCTCAAGTGATCCACCCATCTTGACCTCCCAAAGTGTTGGGATTACAGGTGTGAGCCACCGGGTCTGGCCAAACATGGCTTTTTAAAATGCCCCAAATCCAACTCTCTTTCTTGGATATCGGATATTGGATACTTAATGATCCCAGGCTGTTTTTCAGCATGTATTACTTAAGAGAGTCTTAGAGTTTGACAGAATAGATTTGTGTTTACAATTTCCCTGTTCGTTCTTTCACTTCTTCAGAGCCTTCTCCTCAGGGTTGGTGATCTTATTCTGGACACAGAAGGAGGATTTATTTCAGATAGTTTTTAAGGGAAAAATTAAGACCAGAACTAGAAAGAAACTGTTATGAAAAGCTCTAGGATTTGGTGATGATATACTAGAAAAAACAGTTAAACTGAATACATTTATTTAACTCTTAATTCTTGATGAAAATCTCTTCCTTAACTTCCTTTAGTCTTTCCTTAATCTGTAATGAAAATTAACCCATTGTGTTTTTTTTAAAGACAAACTCTCAAACCCTAATGCTGATAAAATGTGTTGCTAGGGCTCTTCTGATTTTCTGCATATGTGTGAGAGTGTGTGTGTGTGTGTGTGTTGAGATAGGACTGCCTGACAGTTGCATATTTTCAGAAGTTCGTCATCTTCTGGTAAACATTCTGGTTATGTCAGTCTAATTTGTAAACCAGTTGAGCATTTAACCAGGTTTCTGTGGTTAAAAAAAACTGGCATAGGCCAGGTGTGGTGGCTCACGCCTGTAATTCCAGAACTTTGGGAGGCCGAGGTAGGTGGATCACCTGAGGTCAGGAGTTTGAGACTGGCCTGGCCAACAAGGTGAAACCCCATCTCTTCTAAAAATACAAAATTAGCCAGTCATGGTGGCATAAGCCTGTAATCCCAGCTACTTGAGAGGCTAAGGCAAGAGAATCGCTTAAACTCGGGAGTTGGAGGTTGTAGTGAGCCGAGATTGCACCACTGCACTCCAGTCTGGGCAACAAGAGGGTAACTCCTTCTCAAAAACCAACAAAACCTGATCATTGTTAGAAACCACAACTCTGAGGCTGTTTAATATTTGAGTCCCTGAGGTTTTTTTTTTTTCTTATTGAGACAGGGCCTAACTCTGTTGCCCAGGCTGGAGTGCAGTGACGTGATCTCTGCTCACTGCAGCCCCCTCCTCCTGGGCTCAGATGATTCTCCTGCTTCAGCCTCCCGAGTAGCTGGGACTACAGGTGCACACCACTACGCCCGGCTAATTTCTGTAACTTTCGTAGAGACAGAGTTTTGCTATATGCCCTGGCTGGTCTCAAACTCCTAGGCTCAAGCAATCCACCCACCTCAGCCTTCCAAAGTGCTGCTGGGATTACAGGCATAAGCCACCGTGCCTGGCCAATACCTGAGTTTTTAAATGCCTTTTGCACGCTCTGTGAAATATCCGGCTTAGTCTGTGATGTGGTTGAGTAGAAATCAGCTGGAAGGTTGGGCAGGGGCCAGGGGAATGTGCCGGATAGGAATGCATGCTCCTCCTCTTGAATATGTTGTTTTTCATTTGTGTCCTAACTTTTGGCTGAGTTCATCTGAGATCCTCTGGGTGGATGATTTTTGCTTTCTTCACAGTTCTTGTTTATTAGAAAAGCAAACCCCATCACCTCTCCCCGTTCCCCCCTCAGGTTTAGAGTTACAAAAGTGGAGCACAAGTCAAACCAGAAGGAACGGAGAAGCCTGATGTCTGTTAGTGGGGCTGAAACCGTCAATGGGGAGGTGCCGGCAACACCTGTGAAGAGAGAACGCAGCGGCACAGAGTAGCAGGTGAGCCGTGGTTTTGGTGACATTGGGGGCAGGGTGGCGCAGGGTGAGGAGAAGGTACTGGGAGCTTCCCGGGTGCTGTGGCAGCATAGGGATGGCATTTGGCAGGGAAATGGGAGAGCTTTCCTGGACCCAGAAAGGCCGAGGGGGACTGAACATGATTACTTGTCTGCCCAGAGCTTCTTGTAAAGAAGTCACAAACGTGGTGCCTCCAGGGGCTTGGCCTGTGTGGTAATGAGGATAGAGGATTACTTGTGAGGCAATGTGGCATGGTGGGGATTGTGGCAAACTAGAACTCACATCACCCACCATATAGGGCTTGTGTTACCACGAGGCAGAAAGCGCCTAGGGTTGCTGCATCTTCTTACGTAAAAAAAGACAAAATCCAGACTTTTAAAATGTAAAATCACTGATTTTTGATATTGGCAGCTTACATTTTTTAATTATTATTTTTTTTAAACAACCATGCAGGCCAAATGACATGTAATCTTGTCACCATTTCCAGGTAAACTGTGACTTGAAAAAGTCTGGAGCAAACAAACCAATCCTTTTTCCTTTTATTCTGTTGGAAACCAGTTTTCTTTGTGTCGCAGTTCTGAAACCTCAATACGAATATTTCTCTTCCCACCAAATATTTTGAGGCAATTGAAAAGCCACAGTGATTTATTTCTTGATTTGGCAATTTTAGTTTTGCAAGACACTGTTTAAAAAACAAAAAACAAAAAAACACGCAGCTGGGCACAGTGGCTCACGCCTGTAATGCCAACACTTTGGGAGGCTGAGGCGGGTGGATCATGAGGTCAGGAGATCGAGACCATCCTGGCTAACACGGTGAAACCCCGTCTCTACTAAAAAATACAAAAAATTAGCCGGGCGAGGTGGCGGGCGCCTGTAGTCCCAGCTACTCAGGAGGCTGAGGCAGGAGAATGGTGTGAACCCAGGAGGCAGAGCTTGCAGTGAGCCGATATCATGCCACTGCACTCCAGTCTGGGCGACAGAGTGAGACTCCATCTAAACAAACAAACAAACAAACAAACAAACAAAAACACACACACACACACACACACACACACACACACGCACCAAAACCCTATGATAAATTGATAGTGGCTTAACTTTCATCTTAACTCCTTTATTTCTGTTCCGGCTTGAGTGGTATTTATCCTTTCCACGTTTCTTATCCCTTGTAAAAGGGCAAGGGTGACAATTTGGGAGGGATCATGCCCTAAATGCTCCATGGAACCATCAGAGCCTGAACATGAAGACAGAGAGTTTACACTTACATGGGGAGGGGAGGGCGGGCAATGGGGGAGAGGTCAGGCAGGGTCCTTGAAGGTACAGGGACACAGCCAAACTGACATGAACCCTGGAGTCAGACTGCCAGGTTCAAGCTCCAGTGTGCCACGCACTAACCCTGGGACCTAGGCAAGATACTTGAGCTTTCTACGCCTCACTGGAAATTGGAAGTGATGCTCCTTGCCTCAGGGGCGGGAGTGAGATTTCCATGAAGTTGCACGTGGGAAACGCTCCGTCCATGCTACTGATTATTATCATGCAATTAATTCATTTTTGGTCGGTGTGGCTGAGTGGAGGAGAGATGTGGCTTTTGGGTGAAGCTTCTCTGACAATCCGCCGGGCTCAGAGGGTTGAAGGTGCTCTGGAACAACTCTGTGCACCTACATTTTCTGAGACATAGGGACTCTGATCATGTTCTAGTGCTAGTTAGCCCTTGCGGTTTTGCCTGTGGGGAGATCTGGCATCTCTTCCTGAGTTTAGGAGCAAAATAGGAACTTTCTTAAAGAGAGAAACAGTACAGAAAAGTCTACCATTGGCTTCTCGGCCAGTTACTGGTGACCTTGGGGAAGGGAACCAAAAGGAATTTAAGAGGATGATGATGAAGATGAGTAATAACAGCAGCTAAAGTTAATTCAATATTCTAGTCTTCTAGGCATGGTACTGATGTGTATCTCACATGTCATCATTATAAACCTCTCTGAATGGAGTTAGTACTATGATCATAGTTTTACAGATGAGGAAACTGATGAATGGGAAAGGTGAGTGACATGTTGAAGGTCATATAGCTGGAAAGAGGAGCATTCTGATTAAGGTCAGTGAAGGACTTGGCTGTGTGGGAAGAGAAGCATGTGGCTATTCAAGTCTTAGGTGAGGAAGGCCCAGCCAGCTTAGCTGCAAAGAAAGTATGGGTCATAAGGACAGGCTGAGTATGAGTCATCAACTGGGCAGTGAGTTGAGAGATGGAGCCGATTGCACCAGAAGACCGGGCTTGCCCTCGGTTAGGAACTGCAAGATGATCCTCTTGTCAGACTCACCTCTGATTAGAGCTTGACTGACTAGTGCCATGGGTGATTTTGGCCACCAGGTCCCGGAGAGCGGCACTCTAGATCTGGGAAGGTGAAAAGAATTAGGATTGCTCAGCTGGGTTTTTTGGCCCGAATCTGTCTGATTCTGACTATAGAAATTTGGTCCAAGCATCTGAAGTCCTGACCACATTTAACTGATTTACAGTGAGATATTCTCTGCACAGCACGCTGTTATTCAGCAGGATTATATAAACGAGGACTGGATTTGATTAGAAGACATGGGTGTAAATCTGAGCTTCACAATTTGGACATTGTATTTAACTGCTCTACCCCTGGTTTCTTTGAACATGAAATAAGGTATTAAATTCATTGTTTTAATCCAACAGCCAAGAGAAAGTGTGGGATATAGTTGGCTGTCGGTAGAAGGTAGTCATATTGTATTGTACCGCTCAAAGCACAATGAGCAAGAGTGACCTTCAAAGGGTATGTGTTTTCCGAGCCTCCAACTTGTTGTAATTGATTTTCAAATTAAATATTAATTTTTTATTATGGAAAATTTTAAACAAACTCAAAAAGTAGAATAATATCATGGATGTCCATGATCCCGAGTAAATTAATTATAATACCTACAGTTTTTTGAGTACTCTGTACTTGGCATGCTTTGAAAGACACATTCTGTGTATTAACTAATTTCTTTAATCCTCACGACAGCAGTCGGTAGGTGCTAGTTAGTACCCCATTTTGCAGATGAAGGTCTTAAGCACAGAGAGTTTAAACAACTTGTTTAGAGATATCAGCAAGAATGTGATAGAGTTAGACTTGAACCTGGGCAGCCTTGCTTCAGATGTCACAGACTTCATTCAACTGGGTCCAGGACAAGCAGTTCCCATGAGTAGAGGCTGCTCAAATTGAGACCCGCTGGGTGGCCATATCTGATTACCCCAATGAAGTATGGGCCCTGAAAAAGGAAGGAAGGGAATATTCACTGGTGTTTTAAAAATTATGTATTCCACTTTGGGAGGCCGAGACGGGCGGATCACGAGGTCAGGAGATCGAGACCATCCTGGCTAACACGGTGAAACCCCGTCTCTATTAAAAAATACAAAAAACTAGCCGGGCGAGGTGGCGGGTGCCTGTAGTCCCAGCTACTCGCGAGGCTGAGGCAGGAGAATGGCGTAAACCCGGGAGGCGGAGCTTGTAGTGAGCCGAGATCCGGCCACTGCACTCCAGCCTGGGCCACAGAGCGAGACTCCGTCTCAAAAAAAAATAAAAAAAATTATGTATTCATTAAAATTTTTCTTGCAGTTTTTTTTTTTCTTCTCAAATCTCATCCCCCACCAAAAATATGTTTGGAACATTTAACATGACTTGATTTCCCAACTAGAAAAATCCTGAAAAGTTTCCTTCTGGGCCAGACTCTCTGGTCCTTTCTGGTTCTAGACGAAGCCAGATCCGCACTGGAGTGCAGCTGGGGAAGCAGGAGAGGAGTGCTGTGCGTCTTTTCTCCAATCTGATGCCGTCTTTAGAGTTGTGTTTTTTCCTGAAAGAGATTTTTGCTCAAATTTGGATTTTTAGCCAAACAATGTTACTGCAGTATTTTGTTTTACTGTAGAACAGTCTCAAATATTCAAAGACAAATGCATATCCACTTACTGATTAGGTTTCTTTTTTTCTTTCTGTTGTTTAAGGTGGTTGTTACCAGAAACTAGACTTAATATTCTAAATAGAATGTTATCAAGACTGGGGCAGGATTTCTCTCTCGCTCCTCTGGCTCCTTCTCCCTTTACAAACCCCAAATCTGATGTTGGGCATGGCCTCCCCTGTTCTTCTCACCCTGCTTTGTTGGCCTGCGTTCTTTTTTGTGGCTACATCTAACTTGCCCTCTTGCCCTCCGCCTGATTTATTTTGGCAATGCGGTTAAAATGGTGTCTTTTTTCTACAGAAAATGTGTTTTGGTTTCTCCTGAGAAGAATAAGCTTTTGTTCTTCAAAGTTAAATAAATCGAATTGCTTTCAGCCTCCAAATGCCACTGCCTTGTCTTCATTGTCACTGGTCTTTGGCTTTTTAAAAATGATCCTGTCCTAAGCATTCCATGTCGCATGTTTCTGAAATCTGTACTCCTTTTTCCATTCGCTGATAGTATCCTGTTGGAAACATTGATTTAGTGAGTTTACATAACCATATTTTAAAAATTTTTTTTTAAATTAATCAGATTTTAATGGACACATGTTGCATGTATTTATCATGTCCAATGTAGTGTTTCCAAATATGTATACGTTGCGATGGCTAAATTGAGCTAATGAACATATGCATTGCCACACATACTTATAATTTTTTTTTTGGGGTGAGAACACTCCAAATCTACTCTTAGCAATTTTTAAGAATGAATATATTATTAACTGCAGTCACCATGTTGTACAATAGATCTCTTGAAATTATTTATCCCCTCTAACTAAAATTTTGTGTCTTTTGACCAACCCCTCCCCCGCCCCTACCTCTAACCACCTTTCTTCTCTCTGCTTCTATGAGTTCAACTTTTTTAGAGGCCACATGTAAGTGAGATGATGTGGTATTTGTCGTTCTGTGCCTGGCTTATTTTACTCAACATAATGTGCTCCAGGTTTATCCATTTTATCTTCAAAGACAGGCTTTCCTTCTTTTTTTCTGGCTGAACAGTGTTTC